TCATGTTTTGGTAGTTAGTAGTAAACTAATTCGGTTTCAATAAGATTACTTACTGGACATATGAACATCTAGATACTAGATATTGTCGATAATAAAAATAATAAACTCAAAGCTAAACTTTTGGTTAACACTCTTTATAATTCCATATATGAAGGTGTTTTGTTTCTTACAATATGACTAATTAGTTATAATAACTGAATAAACTTATGCATAGGTGCAGTTTCAAGGCTGAATTTTTTGAAGTATTTATACCTATTTCTTCTCTTGTTACTACTACTACTACTACTACTACTACTACTACTACTACTACTACTACTACTACTACTACTACTACTACTACTACTACTACTACTACTACCACTACTACTACTACTACTACTACTACTACTACTACTACTACTACTACTACTACTACTACTACTACTACTACTACTACTACTACTACTACTACTACTACTACTACTACTACTACTACTACTACTCCGACTACTACTACTACTACTACTACTACTACTACTACTACTACTACTACTACTACTACTACTACTACTACTACTACTACTACTACTCCGACTACTACTACTACTACTACTACTACTACTACTACTACTACTCCGACTACTACTACTACTACTACTACTACTACTACTACTACTACTACTACCACTACTACTAATACTACTAGTTTTCTGGGTAGTACAGCTCTACACTACACTTGTTTATTTATGTAATAGTTTGAAACATATTATTCTTACAGATTTACTTATTAAATCATACGCCTACTTATATGAAATGGCATATCATTTCAGGGTGATGGTTACTTTGATAGCATAATCAGAAGCAAAAATATTAATTAATGTTGTATGCAAGAAGAAAATTAATTCAATAGTAAGTAGTATTTCTAAATCATGTAGTGTGTAAATTTTTGTTCAAATGTCAAGTATTCATCAACAACACTGGAAAAACACAATATATATATATAAAGTGTGGAATTTTTCAAATATCTGGATCATTTTTCTGCAACATTTCTGCAGCATAGTTTAATAAATGTTGTATTGCACTTGAACAGTTTTTGTTATTTTTTTTTAACGTATCAATTATTGGAAAAGATGAAAACGATTGTAACATTTAATAAATTCAAATAATTTTGATACATCATAGGCTTAGCAAAATTTATTGTAAAGTATTCAACAACAACTTGAATTATTATTTTTAAGTTATTATTTCAAGAAAATAGTTGATATAATGATCTTAAGTTGCATAGATGAAAATCTCAGAATTGACCAGATTCATCACCGAACAAATTAAATGCAGTGTAGTACTATTGCTTGGATTCAATATTCGTTTTTAAATTTTCCTACGTTTTTTCACTTGAAATTGCACCGTAAAAGTAAAAATATTCAATTAATTTTACCAAATAGATGTTAACTTAATATTTAAGATAGGTTATGCTAAATTCAGTTATGTTTAGAGTGGAAACATGCAAACGAATTGCATTTGACTGAACAAACTCGATCCCTCTAGCTTAGATGTGGTCACCATACAAAGTGAATTGATCTGATCTGAATGTCGATCATGGTATGATAATGAATCCGGTTTAAGTATCATAAAACCCGTGATCCAAATTTTTTTTTGATTCCTCCCAAATAATTATTGATTTTTCTTATTTTATCACCGAGGCCATCTGCATAAAGTAAGCTGGGAGTGTTTTTTGCTAATAATGTCTTTACATTAAAACGACAAAACGGCCGTCCAGGGCTTCCAGGTTTCTAATGGTGGTTTAACAATTATGGCCTAAGCTAAAGTGACAGTCAACTCTATATTTCATTTCAGTATATCTTGTATACTTGCTTCGTACTTTTAGAAAGAAGCCGTTAAATCAATGTATATCTACTTTGGGACAATTAATCCTTCGAAATTTACACATTCAAATGATGAGGCTAGAACTGAGAATGAAGAGGAAAGAATAACTTTTGAAACATTTTATCCTTAACAGACCTCAAGAGACGTGAGATTAGAAATTAGTAATTAACACTAAATTCACTAGAAACAAAGACAAAAGAGTGAATTGTACAACATAAAGATCCTTCAAAAACGTTCAGAACATTAGAAATTTTATCATTCAAAGCCTTAATAGACAAAAAAAACCCATCTGAATAGATGTTATAGAGTGTTAGGTATACTGTCGAGATAATCAATCAATTATTAAACTCATTTACAACTTAAAGTAAGTAACTACTCTCAATAACAACATTCATCCAGTAATTTTGATTAGTTAAACAACATAGACAGTCACAGCTAAATCTTGGAGCTATTTCATTTCATTTGAAATCATCAGTCGATCATTTTTAGACTACCATTAGAAACCTGGAAGCACTGGACGGCCGTTTCGTCCTGGTATGAGACTCATCAGCAGTGCGAATCCACTTTATGAGTTGTTTTGTTAATAAAATGTCATTTCGTTAACAGTTAGATCATTCTTTCTTAACGTTTATGCAAGTGTTCGCAATAATCTCAGTGACATTTTTCATTAGTGTGAATTATAACACACCGTATTGTCATATAGCGGATTGCATTAGCACGTTAAATGAAATAACTCACTTCTATGTGAGATGGATTATGATAATATTGTGTCAGATGACAATGGATGCTTCATAAGTAAATCGGTTCACCTCAAAGAATACAATGCAAATAGAAGTATTCACATGAATTAGTCAGTCAGTCAGTCAGGTGCAACGTAGAACTTCGTACGTAAGTACATCAGTTCATGTCGCCATACCACATCAGCACAGAGATGTAATTGTCAATTCAAATCCAATAGTAGAAGAGGCAGTAAAGGTATTAGGAGTAATCGGAGAGGTTAGGATTAGAAGATATTATTCAAGAAATATGGTTCAGTGAGAAAAGTTTAGAAAGTCAAAACTAGAGGGGTTGAAGAATCCAGAAGATTAGGATTTGAGAGAACATAGAGAATAAATGCACCGGCGCCATTGCAAACGGTTTTGAGCCATGTCATTCAGGGTCTCTAACCATCGATTATTATCATCTCGTGGACCCCAACCAGGTAGTCGACAATTACCGACATGGCTAAGTCCACTCGTCAATGACTTCATGGATTTCTGCCATGTTTTGGTTTGGCCGCCCCTAGCTTTCTTCTAACCTATTCCTTCACTACAAAACAAAGCTCTTCGAGGCAGTCGGTGGTTAGGCATACATAACACATGTACCAACCACCTCAACTGATGAAGTTTCATCATTCATCTATTGATCTGCCATTCATTGACATGAATTATCAACTTAATCAATTCTCATATGAAATATTAATTATTTTAAAAACAATGAATTCGGAGACAGTAAATTTTGTATCTTTCTAACGAAAACAAATAATTAAGATGATTGCAAGTCACTGAAAATTTGTCTATTACCATAAAACTTTACATTATTCTACTTCTAGTGAGAAGATGTGACCAGTGGAGTTCAACTCTGCCGGGTGAGGTTACACCAAAACCTATTAGTAAGTAATATATGTTCACCTACATGAATAGATTTTTAGTAAATAATAATTTCGTGGTAACAATTCTGTGTTAAATTCTGTCACTTGATGTTATGTCATGACCTCAGAATGAGTTAAAAGTTTACATTAACCACAACTTATCATGGATGATTCCATAGGTGTAGTGAACTCTGCCTAGATCCCCTCTGAGGCTACTGCCGATACCAAGCCTGCACAAGGGAGGAGGGTCGGGTATATAGTTAACGACCCTTTCCAGTAGAAAACTAACTCGCTAAAAAAGGCTAACCAGAGGAGTGAAACGACACCATGAAATTTGTTGCAGTTATGGATGGACGACACTATGAGTTTAACTAAAGTCTACTTTTAAGTAACTGTATTCAACATACTCTGAGATTCAGGTGAAATTAATTATCACTTAGTCTTCCGTTGTATTTCCAAACTATGTTGATTGATTATAATTAAATTAGCATTACTTATCATATTTCACTGGCAAGAAAATGATCTTTTCTCTCACTATTTTAATTAAAACTTACTTTTACTAGCAGTTTTTCAAGTGTTTATCAAAGATTTTGTTTCAATAAATGATGTTTTCTGATAATAAAAATAAATATATAACTGTTCGATTTACAAATCTTATAATAATTCATAATCCTGTCAGCATTTTAAAATGTCTTAAGACCAGTCTCACACATATATGGTTATATATATATATATATATATATATATATATATATATATATATATATATATATATATATATATATATATATATATATATATATATATATATATTGCAATACGAGGTTGTGAAGATTGTTAAGTTACACATTTGAAATTATGAATGGATTATTGTTAGACCGCCATTAAAAACCTGGAAACACTGGACGGCCGTCCTTATCCGAGTTCTAGTGTGAAGTCGTGACCAGTCAAGTTCAACCTGTTCGGGTGTAGGCATTAACTACCGAAGACAGCGTATAAGGTTGCGCAACTATATGAATTGATCGAAGTTAGACATTAACACCTTTAGACACCGGCTCAGTGGTCCAGAGATTAGGCGTTGGCGCGTAAGACCGAAGGTCGTGGGTTCGGATCCTGCGAGGTGCAGGAGTCATGGATGCGCACTGCTGATGAATACAATACTAGGATGAAACGGCCATGCAGTGCTTCCAGGTTTCTGATGGTGGTCCAACAGTGATCGATTCATTGTTTCGAATATATCCATATGACACACAAAGTGACTTAAACACCGAAACAGAGACAATTAGTCAAATATTTATTGAGAAATACAGTCTGGACCTAGATTCTTACAGAAATTATTGCATATATCAAGAATGCTGGTTCATCACGAATAGTTATGTTGTATATACACTTCAGAACTAAAATAGAAGGGTTAATCACACTTTTTCTACGAAAAGTACAACATCATCAGTAATAAAAACAAATTTAACAAAAATAATAATCATAATAATAACGATCATCAACTCACGGTTTTCCATCCACAAATCAATATTCGATCGATTATTAGGATTATTATTACTATTATTATTATTATTATTCACTGTTTTATTGACAATATTTTGCTCTTTTTTACAATCCTCTTTATCTGAGGTTAAATTTTCTGACCGATTAACAATCCATTGACGTGTAGTTAATCCACGTCGATGTATTAAACATATTACTAATAAAATTGTTGCCATTAATAATATACTAAATAATACAACTAAACAAACAACAACAATTTCATTACGTCGTCCATTTTGTACAGCCATTACTGAACCAACAGTGAATTCATCTAAATCAAATGATAAATCAGATTTACGATGATGATGATTTTGTTGAAAATTATCATGATTCAATGATGTGCCAGTTTGATAAACAAGTAAATCATTATTGGAATTAGACAGTGGTTCATTTAAACTATCAAATACATTTATACGTATAACTGGAGACAGTGTACAACGTCTAGACGGACCAATACCACCGTCACAAGCTTCAACAACAAATCGATGTGTAGTTGTAGTGTTGAAAGGTCTTTGGAATAAATTTGAAAAAAAATAAGAGTAATCAAGTTGAAATGATAAAACTAATCAATTTTAATCATGTTGTTTAAAGAAAGTTTTATATTTACTACTTTGAGATAATATCAGTTATTTTGTAATCAATTATCTACTGGACATTGGAAAGTACCCAACTGTGTCACAAGACAGGCCCTCACTTGTAGCCCTCAAGGTCTTGGGAAAAGAGGATGGCTTAAAAACATATTACACCGAGAAATGGAGACATGTATGAGACGACGGAACGAAAATTGGACAGAACTGAAAATGGATGCCCAAGACAGAGGTGGTCGCAGAATACTGATCAGCGACCTATGTTTCCATGAGGGTAACAGAAGTAAGTAAGTGATCGTATAAACTGGCTGGCATTCAAGAAATCTACTTTGATCATAAATCACATTGTTATGATTTAATCATTTTCACTAATAAATTAATTCATTCAGTCTCAGACTACTTGTAGTACCATCCAGTGCTTCAGTAGTTCAACAAACGGCTTGTTATCGTCGTTCCAACTAACATGTTTCTTATTTTTAAATTTTGAAAAGTTATTTCTTTTCACCACTAACTCTTTATATAATCATTTTAACCTTAGTTTTATAATTTATATTATTATTATTATTATCTAACTTGATTGCCTGTTGAAGCTAGTTAACTTGTAGCATTTATTACAGTATTATGATGAGATCGATATCTTTATGTGAAACAGTTAAATGACACCAATGTTTGTTAACATCTATTATGGTGTAAAGAATATTTATCAATAAGTAGAGTTTATTTTATGACAAGCTTCATCTAGTCATAAGCTACAAAAGTTCGGCCTAAACTAATCCTTAGAAATGTGACATTGTCGAAGTCTTTCACTTGAACATCCGGATATACCGTAATTTATAATGCTATATGATAGCTGTATTTTGCTGAGTGACCAGCAATTTCACAAACTATACCCCCATTATTTTTGTCAGTTTGAGCTAACTGTGATTATCAAGTTTATAATTTAAGTAATTTGTTGACTTCTCACTTTTGTAGTGTATTTCTTGAGTTTCTAAGATTATCATAAGTTCTCACTGAGAAACTAGTTAGAAATGTTGATGCTTTCTCTTATATGCCTTACTGATACCGCTCAGATATTTTAAGATCTTGTTAAAACATCATTTTTCTTATTTATGAAGACTTGAGATAAACTCAAATATAGAATAAAGCAATAAACATCATATTATACCTAGCTATAAATAACATTCCACTTGATTCATCAATAGCAAAATGTCCAGTTCCTGAACCACCAGGTGGTCGAGGAACTTCTGATCTGATTTGATAAGTAATTCTTGCATTTTCTCCTTCATCTGCATCAGTTGCTTCCATTGTAAGCAATTGTCTACCTAGTGTTTCATGCATACTTAGCTGAATAGCAGTAGATGTATTTGGTCGACGAAATATTGGTGGATTATCATTGATATCAGTGACAGCGATTACAACGGTAGCAGTAGATGACAGGGATTTATGCACAGGTTTATTATTATATGTATTTCTCAATGTAAAATTATTATTATTACTGCCACTGGTTAACTTCGTTGTAGACATCATACTGTTAATTTGACGCAATGATATAATTGGTGAAATCGGAGCAGAATCAATGGCAACAATTTCAACAGTGAACAATGCTACCGATTCACGATCCAATGTACGTATAAGACGTATTTTACCAGTTAAACGATCCACTGTGAAATAATTTAACATAGTTGACAATTTTTCTGAATGTGAATAATTTATACGATTCATTGGTTTAATGTCATTTGTCATGCTTGATACAGTGGTCTTTTTCAATTCATCTTGTTGTGAATTGATCGCTTCAAAAGACTGTTTACTTGTTCTATTGAATTGTTTACTCTTGTTCAATTCATTGTTTAAAGTCTGATTGAACTCAGTGTTCTCGCCTACTGATGCCAATTCATTATTTCCATTCAATTTATTTTCAAGAGCACGTGAATGTAATCTATGTGATGATGATGATGCTGATGATAATACCCAGTCAGTTAATTCATTTACTGGTTGATATGAATGTGTAATCAATTGATAAGTTATTTTCCCTTTACTATCTGCATCACGATCGATCGCTTCAACTTCACCGACTGTTTCATGAATTCTCATATTCTCCGGTACACTGAATGTATATACTTCACGTGTGAATTGTGGTGGCCAATCATTTTCATCTAAAATAAACACTTCCACTTGAGCTGTTCCAGTTAATGCTGGTTCACCACTATCAATACATAACACTTTAAATCGATAAACTCCATCATTCGGAGCTGTTTCACGATCAAATACAACTTTAACATATAAATCACCTGTTTGTGAATTTAATTCAAACATATTATTAAGATTATTATTCATATTCATATTCATATATGATTTCGTGTCACTATCAGTCATTTCATAGTCTTTATTTTCAACTCCACTTTCTATGTACTCATCATTTTCTAAACGATATGTAATCAGTGCATTGACACCTTGATCATTGTCTACTGCAATTGTACGTCCTAACCAAATTGGTTTATTACCGGGTAATTCTTGATTTTCCGATAATTGAAATACAAAATGACCATTATTTACAAATTCTGGTGCGTTATCATTTAAATCTGACAATTGTACATGAATGATTACATAAGCGGAATTATCTACACTATCTGTACATGTTAAAGTGATTGTTTGAATGGGGGTAATTTCACGATCTAAACTTGAATATGGCGAGGATAAGTCTGTTAATCGTGTACCAGTTATTAAACGATAATCTTGTTTATTTTGTACAGAATTTGTTAATGAACGTTGTATTGAATTGTCATAGAATGAATTACGTTTTGTCAAGAATAACAATGAATTACTATTACTACCAATACTACTACTACTGCTACTGCCACCACTTCCTGTTGATGATATCGATGTTAATGATGTTGACGTTGATGATGGGTCGTATTGTAATGTGAAATTATCTGTTGGACCTAGACGACAATGAATATGATCTTGTCCATGGTGATCAGGATCATATACCTAAACAATAAAAATTAAAGAAAAGATAATTAACTTTTGAAGATAACATATGGCATGCATTTAGGTTCAATACAAATGTTAAGACATTTCTACTGTATGAGGCGGAGACTTGGAGAACCACGAAAGCCATCCTCATCCAAAAGATACAACTATTCATTAAGAGTTGTCTACGCAAAATACTTCGGGTCCGTTGGACAGACACTATAAGCGACAAATTACTGTGGGAGAGAAAAAACCTGATTCCACTGGAGGGAGAAATCAGGAAGAGGCGGTGGAAGTTGATGGAATACATTTATTGAGGAAATCACCCAACTGCGTCACAAAACAAGCCCTCGCTTGGAACCCTCATGGTCGAAGGAAAAGAGAAAGGTCAATGATCATATTACGCCGAGAAATGCAGACAGATATGAGAAGAATGAACAAAAAATGGACAGAACTGGAAAAGGAAGCTTAGGACAGAGTAGGTTGGAGAATACTGGTCGGCAGCCTATGCTCCATTGGAGGTAATAAGCGTAAGTAAGTAAGTAGATAATGCATTTAGGGATGAAAGCATTCGGCTGCAATTCACGAGATGATAATTAATCTGACACTGATTTACAATAAATATTCAATGAAATCCATAATTTCACTACAATTTAAACTTAGTGAACTCCTATTCAGAATGGATTGGATGAAATTACCATTAAAAGCAATTAAAAACTATGCGCGTGAGCTTATGTTATACAAATGAGTTGAAAATAACCACGAAGAATTATACTTTCTCAGCAGATTAATTCGACTGGTTTTCCTTTCTTTATAATCGTACATTCAAACCAGCATTATAGTCTTCAAATGACTAATAATTTAATAACATACTTTAAACCTTAAACAATATTAAAGTCTATTTTCATTATAGAGTTTTGGAGACTGTTGCCCATGATTGAGATCAGGAATCAATCGCAGTTAGATCACATTCAGAAACTTGGAATCACTGGATAACTTGTTGGTCCTGACATAAGACTCCCCAGCAGTGCGCATCCATGACGCCCGACGTCGGGAATCGAACCCAGAACTTTCGGCCCAGCGCGTGAGCGCCCAACCTCTGGACCATTGAGCAGGCACCCAATGGTGTTAATGTCTAACCTTAATCATTTTATGGATTTTGCACAACCTCACCCTTTGGTTTCGAAAGCTACAACCTACACTCAACGGTTAGACATTAACACCGTTGGAACCTGGCTGGCTCAGCGGTTCAGAGGTTTGGAGTTAGCGCCCAAGATCAAACGTCCTGGGATGGAGTGACAGGAATCGTGGGTGTGCACTGCTGATGAGTCCTACGCCAGGACGAAAAGGCCGTTCAGTGCTTCCAGGTTTTTAATGGTGGTCTAACAATGACCAATTCATGATTTCAATAATACTAAAGTCGTTTCATATAAATTCAAGATACTCTATTAAAACATAAATCAAACAGTCCATATTTCAATGAGTGGTGCTTTAGATCTTGGAAACAAATCGTATTTTATATTTGATGGAGTTTCGTTCTCTGAGCTGGGAGATTTAATCGAGAGAATGAAACTCCGTCAAAACAAATGGAAGAATTCTATAACTTTGAAATGATTGTTTTCCGTATAAACTACACACCGTGTTATATGTTTATAGCTAAAATTACAAATTAACCATATAAATTAATAACTTGGTAGTGACCATAAAGTTATTGAATACTATTTTCATTTAGTTTCATAGTTCATGTATCTAATCTTGTTGTATTTGTATTCAAAATCTATCGCTCTACTAACGGAGACATGTACGACTCATGATAATAAGTAATTTATCATTTCATACTGTGTTAACCTGTAACGGTAGATAACCTTCCTTCATTCCTAACTTCTGGTTTGACTGCATTTTGGTCTACTCAATTAGAAAGGTGTTATGAACAAAAGCGCAGTCACCATCGATAACATCTTCAATCTCAACATACTGCTTTCGAAATCACTGAACATTCAACGCACAAGCTATTACAATACAAACATATAACTTTAATTTTAACTGCATTTAACATAATAAGAAAAAAATTATATTACTTGAACATAAGCAATCACTGTTTCCGGTTGAGGATTTTCATTTATAGTTGTGGTAAATTCACGTAACAACTTTGCACCATTCGAATTTTGTTTAATTTTATTCGATAGAAATGAATGATGTGTTGTTGTTGTTGTTGAAGAACTGGTATCATAAACGGAATTACGTTGTAACAGCATAACATTTATTTGTGGTGTCTCATCATTTTCATCAGCAAGCATAATTTCAACAATAGCTGTACCTGTTAATGTGTACGGTTCTGGTGCACTGTCTTTAGCTATTACCTGAAAGTCAAAAAATATTCAACATATAAATCACTGGAAAGGCGTACATTTTTTCTAAGCAAACACTGCTACTACTGATTACATTAATTAGTACCTGACTTTTTAGTTATCATCTGTTGGAGTAAAGAGTAGTTTGTGAAGAATAGCTTGTTCGAGGAGGTGACTGTCGATATAAACTTCTGGTTCATTATATCCTAGAATGACACAACTCCGCAGTTCTTTCTACTTTCCAATTGTTGCTCCAATGATCTCATTGACATTATTACCAAATTGAGGCAATGCAAATATCTATACTTCTATTTAAGGTTATTAGTCTGCATTGATTAATTTAGATCGTGTAATGTGTGTGTGTGTGGTCACACATACCTAGGGAGGAGTACTTATGAGTTGCATGTACCTAAATGACTGTGAAAACTAATCAAATCAAATAACCTAATACGAGTAGATGATAAATATCCATTGTCCTATATAGTTGAATATACTTGAGACATGTCTTAACTCAGTTTTTGTGTTGTTGTATAAAAGTGTTCAAGGGCGTATATGAGGCTTAACTGAAGTCTTAACCCAAACGAAAGTTTAAACTGTTTAGAAAACATAAAGGTGTTTCTATTCACTTTATTTCTCTGTATTTCTTAACCTTGTACTCTATTCGTCTAGATGACCTTTGATTCATTTTTTAACAAGTATGTGTGCTTAGACTGTTCGAACCGTATTGCTACAACATATTGTATCGTTACTCATCTTTTCAATACTGAATTTACGTTTCATATAAATCTGAAAGTTAATCCATCTTATTCTCTGTTTGTTAGTTTAAGGACTGTTATTTTCCATTGTATATAAGAATTGTAAAAAATCACTAATAAATACGTTGATTAGAACAGCAAAGATTTCCGGTTTATGAGATTCATTTTATATTTGCTTAGTCATGAAAAACGTGCTAACTAGTGACCAGGTTTGTGAGGAAATTTCTTCGAGTTATAGTGAGAAGTCATGACCAGTAGAGATCAACCCTGCCGGAGGTGAAGCCGTGCCTACCCGAAGAATATGGATGAGGTGGCACGTGACCAGTGATTGATTGAATTTCAACATTAAAACACCGTTTGATGTCGGTTCATTGACCTAGAGGTTAAGTGTTCGCTCACAAGACCGAAAGTCTTGGGTTCGATTCTCGCTTGTTAGATCAATGATGCCCATTACTGATAAGTCCCATACCCAGGACGATACAACCATTCATTACTTCCAGGTTTCTAATGATGGTCTAACAATGATTAATTCATAATTTCAATAAAAAAATATTAATAACCGCCTTTTCCTCTAAAAATTTCAAAACATACCATTCCGATTAATTTTTTTCTAGTGTACAATTAAGGGGAAATGTGTACTTCTTAGTCATGAAAAAACAATTCATACTTGTTGGATGATTAAAACAATAGACTGATGCCTTTCAATGTCAGAAGAATTTTATTTAGTTTCCTTTTTTTTACTAAACTACTTCATTTCTAAAATATAACTGAGATATGATTTAGTCATTCAATTTATTCATACACTTATGAGTTTATAGCGTAAAAACTTATTTGTCTACCTTAACCACAGTTTACTTCAATGCAAAACCCTGTTCACAATATAAATTGCTCATAATATAAATTTTAAAAAAATTAATCTCAAGTGTCTAATTAACTGTGTCAATATTCACTTAGGTTTCTAGATTATTATTATTATTATTACTTTAATGGTTAATTGACTTATTTTTCAAGTACCTCAATGACATCCGTTGTAAGTGTCAATTTACTAGATGAGTACTTGATATTCCCTAGTGTATGGTTTATTAGAAATGTCTTATGATAAAAATACCTGGACGAAACGGCCTTCCAATGCTTCCAGGTTTCTAATGGTGGTCTAACATTGATTGATTCATAACTTCAAATTTGTAACTTAACAATCTTCACAAACCCGTAATGCAGTTACATGTGCTCACTAGTGACTAGCTCCGTAAGGAATCTTATCCGAGTTCTAGTGGGAAGTCGTGAGCAGTGAAGTTCATCATGGTCCGGTGTAGACATTAACTACCGAAGACAGTGTATGAGGTTGCGTAAGAAAGTAAATTCATCGAATTTAGACACTAACACCGTTAGATACCTTGTCAGTCGTCCAGAGGTTAGGCGTTCGCTCGCAAAACCGAAGGTCGTGGGTTCGGATCCTGAGAGGTGCATGAGTCGTGGATGCGCACTGCTGATGAGGCCATCCAGTGCTTTCAGGTTTCTGATATTAGTCCAACATTGATCGATTAATGATTTCAAATGTGTATCGTAACAATTTTCATAACTCAGCAATGGAAAAATACTTTCATCAACTTTTTATGTAAATTTCAACATGATACAATATTTATTTATTACGAAAAGTTTCAATTGTTGTCGATTAACATATCAGACGGAAATCCATTTAGCCATTCGGTAGATTTTACAAACTTAGTTTGTCATCATTACTCAACAGTATGTACTCAATAATATAATAGTCATGTAATGTTCGAATTCTTACAGTAAATAATATATCAATAACCCAGGAGGTTTGTAACTATTCATGATTGTCTGAAAATTTCATTTGTAGTGTATGTACTGATATGTTTAGCACACAGGACTTGTTCCAGCTTTCGGACAAACTAACTGACCTATTCTTCCAGAGTTGTTATTTACTTGTCATTTGACCTTGTTTATAATTCTGCTCATAAACTTGGTTGTATCTATTCGACTGTGTGTGTATCTGCCGCTTATCACATTTATGGCTTAGTTCGCTCGCCTTCTCCGGTTTGCTTTGTTTTCACTCTTTTTATTCTCATGTCCGTCAGCATGAGTGGTTGCATGACATAAAATTATCCAACCGAAACTATGTTCAGCTTCTTAGTACTGCCATCGCATAAACTGTGTTCGTCTGATCATGAAATACGGAAACTGACGGGGAGATTTATATCATAGTATGCTTGAACATTATAAATGAAGGAGTCATCGTAGGCTACTCCAGTAATGAGTCCTACACCGAATCTGACTCAGCCACACATTACATCCTCAATAAACTGAGATTGGTATTCAGTGTCCGCACATTAAGAACTTTACGAAATCTATCTTAAAATTAATTATGAGAGAATATAAATTATCTATTTATTAAGTCAGTTCTTAGGAGATTTTATCAATAAACGTGAATTATTTGATGAAGAACCAACAGTCTATGGGAAACTATTGAAACCAATGACATAGGCTAAGCTAATTGGTTTCGGCACTTCGGAATTTTTCATTGACAAAACACATACTACTACTACTACTACTACTACTACTACTACTACTATTACTACACATGAACTCGGAAGTCACAAAATCAAATCTTGTCGTGATAAGTATTTACTATCAAACATAAGTAATTAATAACAACCATAACAGCAATAACAACATCAACAACAACAAAAATTCATATTTTTACAATAATTGTTCAAAGTTGAAGGACCATTAATCTAAAGTGTCTGTTGAAAATAAAAAACATTTCTCTTTATTTGTGAAAACTCTTGAAATTTAACCACTAGTGAGCTGGTGGTTGGTAGAAGTATTATTAAAAAGTCTATGCAAAATTCTATTCAAAGTGACTTTGAATTTCATATACTACTACTATGACTACTACTACGACTATTACTACTGCTATTTTCTAAATTATTTATGTTTATGTATACATATATAAATATATACATCTATAATTGTTATTTTTGTAAGGAGAAGTTTCACTTTCAAACAAAAAACACGGTTATTTGAAAGAAAATAAATATATCTTTATATATATGTGTATATGTATGCCAGGAAATGAATTTCACGAACAAAAATAATTTCTTTATCAGTTTTATTTTTGCACAGCGACATTTTTACAATTAACGCTTGTTTCCTCATGATAATGATAACATATTCAGCTGTCATCTTTAGTAGTGCATAAAGCAGAAGCCAATAGATGTAAAGAGAGAGAGAGAGAGAAAGAGAATGTATGTGTGTCTGTGTGTGTTGGTGTGGTGAGAATCAAACAGCGAGATGAATGTTGTTAATTAATGAAAGAAAATACAGATCAATTCAATGTTCAATGAAATAAACACACAGTGATTGCGTGAACTAAAAACTCCAAACACTTCACTTAATATAAAGTAAATATGTTATCAATAATAAGATTAGATTTGAAGTTATTAGAATTTATCATGCAGTGTAGAGAATATTTTTTTTTGTTTAAAATCATTTTCATTTATTTTGACTGGTTTTAAAATTTTTATTCAATGCGTCGTTACACTACACAGTATGCGTGAGTGTTAAACAGTTCAATAATAGTAATTATTTATAATGCTGAAGAATAATTTCACAAAAGAATGAACATCTAGAGCGCAACATAAAAAGCTCTTACATAGTTCACTAATTATTTAAATCGGAGAAAATCACTATTCTTTGCTTTACAGTCTACCTTCATCCATTTAAGCCATATTGAAGCGTTTATTCAAGTAGCCTATATGCCAATAGAATCAGTTTGATTTCAAAACTGGACATAGATAATAAGAGGGAATATAAAACTTGATGAACAGTAGCATCTAATCACTGGTGACCATAGTAACTTAACTCCACCTGGAGCTTCTCTAGGGCTACTGACGGTGCCAAGGTTGGTTGAAGTGATGCATATAGAGTTCAAGCTACCGTAAGAAAATTATGACTTCAACGGTGCTTCAATCTGTTGATGAGTCTCAGTCTCTGATTCAAACTCCTAACTTTACTTCATCAGATATATGATTACAAGACTGTAGATTCGTACTTCTTCCCACAAGGTCCTCTGCTTTTCCTATGAATATTCATTCACTTCGAAAGAACTTCCTCATAATACAAGTAATGTCTTATTGTTGTGCGCACTACTTATATGTAGTATATGACGTGAGTGAAAACCTAATGTCTGGCAGCAGAAGATGGGGGAAGATCAAGAAAGGAAGAGTGGGAACA